TGGAGAGGACTTGGAACTCTCGCAAAACCAAGCTAACGAAAAATTGCAAAATACAGAAACTTGTTAATAATAAGTTTGTTCCCTTACTGCTACCGCCTCAAAAATATACTATTATCAAACACATACTGTACCAATAATTATACGAGATACATATAAAAACCGTTTTTATTTTTTTCTAATCCCACGTTTGTAAAAATGTGTTCTATATCACGTGGCTTTCACGTGATGTCCATATTTACCTATTGCCACATGTTATGTTTTCTAGCAAGGCCAAGCCTAAAAAAAAAAAAAAGAAAAGTTTATCTCATAGGGGATGGCGTTAGCGCAAACTAAAACATTCTTTGTTGAAGAATTTATTTTTTTTTTTTTAAAACTGTCCAATAGTTTTCCAAGTGAAATCACCGCGCCTTTATCTTTCTCAGATCCCAGCAAAGATTCCAATGGAAAATTTTGTAATTGAAGATCAGAAAACAGAAATAACTTGGCACCTCAAAAACTTATCAGTGAATATTTGATGGAAAATTGAACAACTTTTTTTGTTTCACTTCGTTTCAATATTCTTGTGGCACAGTACACCTGCATAAATGCAATAACTAAAAAAGAGCATTAAAAAGAAAAGAAAGAAAAAAAAAAAAAAAAAAAAAAAGCCTATAAATTAGCGCACGCGCTAATCCATCAATCTCTGACACCATTATCTTCTTTTTCTTTCTCTCTCTCTTTCTCTTTCTCTCTTTCTCTCTCTTGTAATCTATCTCTCTTTCTCTCCCCTCCCCTNAAAAAAAAAAAAAAAAAAAAAAAAAAAAAAAAAAAAAAAAAAAAAAAAAAGAAGGCTCTAATCGAAATGAAATATCTGATTTTCACATTCTTTTACTTTCAGTCTTTTCAAGATCAGTATTGCTGTTTATTCTTTCTAAACTCTTTTTATCTATTCCTCTATAGGTTGATTGTTTTTTTTTTGGTAAAAGACAAACAGAAAAATTAGGGTGCTATAATGGGTGTTAGTAGCGTATATCATGACTACTCATCTTTCCATAACGGTACATCGTTTAGCGATGCATTTGATAATTTTAACAAATTATCGGATTTAAACGTTATTGAGAAATTGTGGGGCAGCTATTACTATTACATGGCTAATGATTTGTTTGCCACAGGCTTGCTATTCTTTTTAACACACGAGATCTTCTATTTCGGTAGAAGCATACCATGGATGATTATTGATAGATTGCCATTTTTTAGGAAATGGAAAATTCAACAAGGCAAATTACCAAGTGAGAAGGAGCAATGGGAGTGTTTGAAGCTGGTTTTGACTTCACATTTCTTAGTTGAAGCTTTCCCTATTTGGTTCTTCCATCCCTTGTGTCAAAAGATTGGTATTAGTTTCCATGTGCCATTCCCCAAAATCAAAGATATGTTGATTCAATGGGCAGTGTTTTTCGTATTGGAAGATGCTTGGCATTACTGGTTGCATAGAGGGTTGCATTATGGTGTTTTCTACAAGTACATCCACAAGCAACATCATAGGTATGCTGCGCCTTTTGGATTAACGGCAGAATATGCTCATCCTATAGAGGTTGCGCTATTGGGTATGGGAACAGTGGGTATCCCAATTGTCTGGTGTTTGTTCACGAGAAATTTGCACTTGTTTACAGTGTCTGTTTGGATTGTATTGAGATTGTTTCAAGCAGTCGATGCTCATTCAGGTTACGAATTCCCATGGTCATTACATCATTTTGTGCCATTTTGGGCAGGCGCAGATCATCACGATGAACACCATCATTATTTCATCGGAAGCTATGCTTCGTCATTTAGATGGTGGGACCATGTGTTGGGAACTGAAGCAGGTCCAAAGGGTAAAACTGAACGAGAAGCAGCTAAACAACTGAATTCAGAAAAGTTACAGAAGAAATTACTATGACTATGAGGTAGCTCAAGTGAGTGGAGCGGGAGTTGCATTTTGACCACATTGGTAAAGTTTTTTTTTTTTTTGTTTTTTTTTATCTGAAAAGTTGTTTACATTAAGGTACATATATGACTTTTCTTATATTTGACATATATTTTATAGATTAATCATAGGAATCATCATTGAAGCTCTTCCATGATAGAGCAGTTTTGCCGCTTTGTGGGAAAAGGAAAGCTACAACTGTTCTATACCTCCTTGTAGATAAGCTTTTTTTTTGTTTTTCTTTTCTTTTCTTATTCCAACAATACTATAGTGCAACTAAATGACAAAAAACAAAGAGTGTAGTATTTTTCTAAGAGGAAAAGCGTAAATGCAAGATGGTAGGGGTCTGAGACTTACATTGGTTATTTAACAGAGTGTTATATTGTTGGAAATCTATACAAAAAAAAACCCCCAAAAAAACGAGCTATTCTACAAAATCGTAGCTATCATCATCTTCATCATCATCTTCATCATCTTCATCATCATCTGAGAATTAATACACACAAAATTTGTATCACTTTCTTTGATCAATTCTCTTCTTACTCAAGATCCTCCTCCTTGCTTAGATTCGAACTTGCCCATGTACTATATTCTTTTCTTATATGATTCACATCAATAAAAGGTAACCTACTATTCAAATCTTCAAAATCACAAATTCCCAATTTTTCACCCAACTGTACACTCTCCTTCATTTCAATTGGCTTGAGATATCTTGACTCTTCGTTGATTACTTTATCATCGATGGATAGATATTGCGGATTTTCGATTGATACAATTGCACCAACTAATATAATTACAAAGCCTATTATTGCTTCTATCGATATATCTAAAGGTAAGCTACTATGCAATTTTTGGTGATGCAAAAGAAGAGTATGGTGTGTTGAAGTTGTTAAATAATGAAACTCAAAAGATGAGTAGCCCGCATGGAGCAAGAGCAACAATCCAATAAAGTATAATAAATTCTTATTTGAAGAGATCATAAGATACACACAACCAAAGTGTTGCCTCTGCAGGGTGTTACCTCTTGCGCTATATTGCCTCGGCGCTATTGGGTCTTTTAATGATGAGATTTTCAGCTGGTTAACAATTTATAATTTTTTTTTTTTTCCCGTGGTCCCCAAACAAAATAGCTCGCTTTAATTTTTCACCTTGTTTTATCAGAACAACAGTTTTAAGAGTATTGTTTCAAGATTCTTTTATCAAGACATTCTTGCGTCTCCAGTTTCTGTCCATTAGATATCACGGAAAGAAAGCGAGTCACTCAATTGAGACCAGATATATATCCAATTTCAAGCTGTGCTTTTCCAACTACTTTTATTTGAAAGTATTCTTTATTCTTTTTCCTCCATTAAGAGAGACGAAAAGTAAAAATAGCAAAGACAATATAAAACAATATATATTATTTAAGGAATAAATTGCCATACAAGCAAATATCACCTTGTCGTATACAAACAGGGCTCAACCAGGTTAGTGAGAAAAACATGACTAGTGAGCCTTCAAACGGTGAAGATGCTTCAATGATAGAGGCTGGTTCTGGTTTGCAAAACGTGACTAGTGAGCCTTCAAAGATAGAGGCTGGTTCTGGTTTGGAAAACATAACTAGTGAGCCTTCAAACGGTGGAGATGCTTCAATGATAGAGGCTGGTTCTGGTTTGCAAAACGTGACTAGTGAGCCTTCAAACGGTGGAGATGCTTCAAAGATAGAGGCTGGTTCTGGTTTGGAAAAGCATGTGAGTAATAGTACTGGCAAGCATGTGAGTAATGGTACTGGCAAGCAAGTGAGTAATAGTACTGGCAAGCAGCTAATTTATAAACCAACAATGATAGCATCCCTCGACTGTAAGATCTTGCAATACCAGTATGGAATGTACAAGTTGGAACACTTGATTGCAGGTTTGAAGAAGTTGCAGGGCTGTTCTACATCGGAATTGCCGCTTTTGCATTATATTGTACTATTAACAGGAAACACATTTTCCATCAATGAAAAGGCCTTTGATCTCAAATTTGAGCAATTGTCTCAATTCAAAACGACGCAATTAGGAACCATTAATATCACAGCTACTGCATCTCACATCCCTTACGATATTACCGATTTACAAATACTGGCACTAGACCATTTACCATCAACTCAAAATGCAAAACAATGTCTTAAGCAATTAGAGGCCTTGAGCCATGTATGTTTACAGGGCTATGAAAAAAAGTTGGCTTCTGCAAAGTTAGAAAAACTGACAACTTTCAAGGGAGAGAAAAACGAAAACAGTTACTACAATGAGATTGACAGAATCTTGAAAGCAGATATATTTCACAATGATATCGATTTGACCTTTTCGTTGCAAGATGCGACTTTTCCTCAAACTCTGGAAAAGGAATTACTTGAAAATCAAAATTATCAAGAAGCTACGTTAATTGATATGGATATCAAAGCCCTTTTTGTCATTGTTCGCCAATTCGAAACCCCCTTGAAACAAATAAGAAGCACCATTGATGAATTGAAAAAACCCAAGGATGATCCATATGCCTTACATAAAGTATTTCTTATAACACATCGACTTAATGAAATTTACACAATAATCCGTAGGTTTGGAAGAAAGACATATTTATCAAATCATCAACACTTGTTTGATTCAAAATTTCTTTTTCATCATGGTAATGCTGCAAATTTCAAGAGCGTACTACTAAAAAACATGGACGAGTACTATAATTCAATGAAGAAAAATGGGACACTAATAGCCAACATTACAAGACTCATTCGCCAAGATTCCAAGTTTGAAATAAACCACAAGAATATTTTGAATTACATTAATTTTGCAAATCAAGGCTTGAATATTTGTGAAAAATCCTTGAATATATTGCGCGATTTTGGTTTGAGCTGGATTATTGCCGAACTAAAATTTAGGAGAATATATCATCTACCTAAACAGAATTTGTATGTCATTTACCAGTCGGTGCCTGAACTCAAGGACCAAACTCAAACACTGCAACTGCAACTGCAACATCTGCAGCAACATCTGCAGCAACCACAAGATGGTCAACAGCCACAAGCAAAGCAAAGCGTACCTGCGATTAATGGGAAGACAACATCTATAGAAAGATCGTTGAAGAAATTGGATTTCAGCGAAGGAGGACGGAGATCGAGATCATCTTCAGTATCCAGTATTACTAGTAATGGCAGCAATAGCTCTACAGGATTGATGAGAAGAGCATCAATTACGTCTTCTACCAAACCAAATTTGACAAATGTGCAGGGCAGAGTTTCGTCCCCTAGATCAAGACCAAATTCAATGATGATCTTACAAGAAGGCTCCAAATCAAACAAAACTGACACTGGAGAACTGCCAAACATTAGTGCACTTAATAGCGATAGCCCTGTATCGCCTCAAAACCGCAAAAGATGGAACATACAACATACTACCGTTAAAGATACTCTTGCTGCTTCTGGGGCAGCAGCGGCGGTAAACCGAAGTAACAACAATACATCAATAAGATCCCCATTGAGCAAGAGACAAGATGCAACTGAGCAAACTAAGGACACGCTCGACGGCCACCAACCAGCAAAGGTGAAACTGAAATCATCAGTAACAGGAACAGGAACGGGAATGGGACCAAGTCGAATAACAAAGAAATTGTTAGCCGTTGATGATGAAGCAAAGAAAGATGATGCTATTGGAACAAACCCAAAATTATCAGCGTCGCAAAGGTTTCTGCAACATGTAAAGCATGCTGCCAAATCAGGCACCCTAATGACTCAGCAACGTGAGACATTAACATCAGTAACCTATGATCCGAATACTTCCTCAAGATCTCCAATGCGACGCTGTAATGAGCTATCTAGAGAAAGCAACAATGGTCCGATATCCTTGTCACCTCCAGGAGAGCAGTTGCAAACCCATGCACAAACACAAGCACATACGCAGCCGAGAAACAAAACTAGAGATCAAGTCACAAAGCAAAACACTCATCATAATAGCCACATACCTGATAACTTTGTTATTCCGGATGACGGATCGACCTCAACAACAGCGACAACTACTTCTACAGTAACATCTTCATCTACGGACAGCACCGGGTATCTGAGCACAGTTGAAGAAGCACAGGAAGCAGAAGCAGAAGCAGAAAAAGAAGAAGGAGGAGAAGGAGGAGAAACTTTGAAGTCTTCTGAAATTGACGACACGATAACTGTTTCTGATGCCAAAATCCAACCAGAGACAACAACCACGGTAATTTTGAAGAGGGTTAGGTTCACAGGAGTCCCGGATTGGACCGAGGCTGAAGACGCGCCAACAAAGTATTCTCATGCCCTATTAAGGAATTTTGCCTATTTCAGACACCCAAACAAATCTTCAACCAAGAAACTGCATTACTTTTCAAAAAGCGATCAATTATTGAGTGAGGAGAGTTTATCATTTAGAGCGAACCAAGGTCTTAAAGATGGAGAAAAAGAGAGTATGGTGGCAATGAGTATGGCACAAGGTGCAGCGGCACTGATTATGCCGAAACCAAAAAACGGACTAGCAGCTAGGTTTAAGAGCAAATTATTGTAGAACAAGAAACATCATGTTTGATGACTGTAATAGTAATGTATAATGCATATTTCATTTTATTAGATTATGTCTTTATTTTTTTTTTTTTTTTTTTTTTTTTTTTTTTTTTTTTTTTTTTTTTTTTTT